TCACTACCATCAGATGCTGTGAGACAAGCATATGGTGTTTACTTCTCTGACTAACATCTCTCTGGTTTTCCCCACTTCTCAAGAGAATCCTTTCTTGCCAAGTCAATTTGCAAGGGCTTGGATGTAGCCATGGCCCTCTGGTCTGGATCCAAACTATTCCTCATTTTCCCTTGGCAAATGTCGATAGAGGACAATTTTCCTCCTCCCTATAAAACCAGCATTTCACCAAGGGAAATCCCAGTCCAAGGAATAGCCCAAACCTCTGTGTCCTTCCCTACCTCATTCACTTGGAGCTGTGTGAAGATGCCACCCAAAGACTGTGAAAGCTCCCAGGGAGCTCAGGGGTTGGAGAGAAGATGAGCAGCCTGAGTCCCAGGTGAGGGATTGCTGGGAAAGCCTTGCCAAAGGGCTGTGGCAGCCACTGGCATCACTGCTGCAGCTGATGGAGGCTGGAATGAAGGAGAGGTGCCAAGCAAAGGATTTTCATTTGCTTTAGTTTGTGAAGCTTAAACAGAGTTTGGCTTGGGAATGGTTTTAATATCCCAGGGAGACCCCCTCCCCACTTAGAGACTCACGTTTTAGGGTGAAATTTTAAAAAAGTCCAGCTTGCTTTTAAGACTGACTTGTTATGCTTTATTCTTTTGCTTTTCTTCCTTCTATCTGCTCCCTCCAACACTCTGATCTGGTGGCAATGGCATCCTTATCACTCTTATCAGGTCGCACGTTCTTGACTGTCCCTTTGAAGTGTGATTTCCTGTGTCTAGTGGTCAAGAAAGGATACTGGGCACTGCAGATTTCCTGCTGCTTTTCCTCTGTATCTGCAAGTTTTCTTTAGTTTCCTTCCTGTTTTTCTGCTTCACTTGTTTGTGCTTCCCCTTGCTGACCAAACCTGCCTCTCTCCCTCACACAGGTTCTGCCCCACCAGATCATTATCACCCATCTATTTTTCTTCACCAGCATCTCAGAATGATCTTTCCCTTTTCTCTATTGTGCCTTATCCTTTCCATCCTTCCTTCCTTTTTCTTTCATCTTCTTAAACTTTTTTCAGCTATGTGTTTCTGACTCATGTTTTCTGGTCTTTCTAAGATGTTCTTTAGATGAAGGGGAGAAAAGCCTGAAAATGAACCAGATGATCCTTTGGGATTTTGTCCAAAGCACACAGAAAGTAGAAGCAACACTGATTTTCTAATTGATGGGATTTAGAACATACTCCCAGTTCTTGTGCCTCTTGAATGTTTGCTAGCTTTTCTAGCTCTCTTCTGATGCCAGTTAGCATCTTTGACATGTTTGTCAAAGTTCGAAAGAAGACCTTTATGGAGAGATTTCTTTTTGTTATCATTATTAAGAAAAAGAAGGCTCTGAAGAGAGATTTAGCTTTCACCACTAGCAAATGCAATTCTCCATTTCACTACAGGCTCCAACTCTGTGTTGGGATTTTCAAAATCTGTGATGTATGAAATAATTCAGATGGTTAAACATTATTCAGGGGCCTCCCAATTATTCCCACAATACGTGTTGGGAAGACTGTGAATGGCTCTGGAGCTTTTTTTTTTTCCCCTCTGCTTTTAAGCAGATTTTTGCCTTTCGAGGCGAGGTGCTGATTCACTTAATAAACACACAGCCACAAGATCAGGCTTTCTCATGCACCAGTGCAATCTGAGTGCATCCAGGCACAGGAGGAGTTAGGAAAACTTAATTTCAGCCACAATGCTGATATTTGGCAAACGAGTGGTTTTATGGTGCTTCATGCGGCTCTGTTATTTATTTATTTATTCTTGCAGCTCCAGCACAGTGCCTTAATGGGGTGAGCTGGGCTATCGCATTAACTTCTTTATCCAGCTGGGTACAGATTTGCATCCTGCTGCCACTGGGCAGGGTAGGATCTGAGCTTGCTTGCTGGGCACAGCAAAGCTCGCATACCCAGCTGAGCTGCAGCTTACCAGGGGATACTTCCCCTCTTGGAGATACAAATGGCAGCTGCTTTAGGCAATAGGAGATGGCCTTGGCATATCCCTGCTCTGTCAGGGAACATACTGTACTTTGCTCTCACCAGATGCTCATGGTGTGTTATCATCCCGTTTTCACTCTAGGAATTACTGGCACTAGGGAGGCTGGGGGTGAAGTGAATTCATATTTTATTATAGAGGGTTTATTTTGCAGCGTTTAGAATCTGATCTGAATCAATGTCTTCCCATCAAAAGAAGACTTTTTTCCAAACTTTTCTGTTATTTCAGTCTATTAAACTGATACTCTTAATACCCTGAATATCTCCAGTCTTTGCTTTCCCTTTATCTTCAGAAAGAAAAAAGAAAAGACAAAAAAACAAACAATAAAAGAGGAAAGGAGTAATCCAGAAGGATTTTTTTCCTTCATTTGATTATTACTAATCTATAGGGGAACAAGAACAAGAATGAAAAAATAAAGAAGGGAAACAGAAGGAAACAAACAAAAAACAAAGTCAAAACTTCTGATTTCAGCTTAAATTTCTTGCCTCTTTTAACAATTAGTTGTGCCCATGAAGAGTTATTCTGCAAGATATTGCAGTCTGAGTGGAGGAAACTAAAAGGCTCTCTCTTTTTGAATAGGAAGGTGCTCTGCTGCCTGTTTTCAGGCAGGGAGCCTTTGCTGTTGTTGTTGTAGCTGGGTAGCAGCGCAAGACAAAAGGGGACATTGCAGCTTTCGAGCTTTGAGGACTGGGGGCTGAGGAGGAAAGGAGAGAAGAGCATGATTGATGGAGTTCTGGTTGGCTTATAAAGGGCAGCCGGGAGTGCAGGGAAATAATCAGGGAAAAGGGCGTCCCGTACTGGCTCTCTCAGAGGGGAGAAATGAATCCTGCACCTCTGCATTATTAAGTTGTCAGGTGGGCTGATGATGAAAATCTGAAGGTCAGGCATAACAAGAAGCACCTTATGGGGGGATCATGACCTTTCTGGAAGTGCTACACTCATGTTTATCTGCACCTAACCCTTATCCACAATTCTTCATTTGATAAGAACATTGGGAGAAGGGACAGGGAAGGGGGGAGGGAGAGGGAAGTCCTCATCATATGTATAAGCAGTGTGTGAAATTAGGCTTCCTGTGAAACTGATTGTGGATGCTCAATTCACAGTGAAAGATAATAAACCAAAAGGACACACGAGGGATGCAGGCAGAAATTGTTCACTACAGTGGAACTCAATAAAGGGAACAAGAGCTTTCCTAAATGACAAATTTGGTACAGCGGTGCTAAAATCAGGATTCTCCCTGGCACCACTGCAGCAATTTGCTCTCAGCTCTACCACTTTTTATTTACTTTGGATGTCCTAATAATGTTAGAGAGTGGCTTTTTCAGCCATTTATTTATTTATTTATCCCCAGCAATGTTTATTCTTTAACTGCTTACTCTAAACCAAAGAGTCAAGGTGAAGGACAATGAAACGTTAGATTCCAATTGATTTTCTCTCTTTAGTTTCCATATCAGAAATGAGTATAAATATAAATATATTCCAGAGTTAGATGCCTGTCCTATGCGTGCCTTATTGACTGCTTTAATAAATGTCGTGACCCCTTCTGCACACACATGCACGCACAAACTCACACATGCTCGCAATCAAATGGAGGCATTGCTGAGGTATAAATGTGGTAATAATGGCAGTCACGTGGAAAATATTCCAAACCTAAATCTTAGAATATGCTAATAAGATTTTTATTTCGCTCTGATTTCCAGCATTTTGATTTTGCTTTTCAAATCCATAATGTATTTAAAGCATGACAAAGTACACTTGTGGAAAAGTGAAGTCAAACAAGACTTCATAATTATTGCAATATATTCACTTTTCATGCATAATCCTTTAAATTAACAATACAATATATCACCTCTACTGCCACTAGAGGCTAATGCACCTCTATTGAAAGCTGTGTTAAGGAAAGTTATGTCCTATCTTGAAAAGGCACATAACCTTCCAAAATACTAAATGGCAGTAGGTTCTGATCCTGTAATTCTTGCATACTCAAGCAGCCTCATTAGCCTTGATTTTCCCACATCAATGGACAATAACCTATTAACTTTAATGGATTTACTAATATGTACTGATGTGAGATCAGAATCAGTACCTTTGGGACATCATATTTAAAGATTACCAGATCAGCAGGAAAAGGAATATGATGTATAAACTAATGAATACTTTTATTAGATGAATAGAATGATACTGGAACCCATCAACTGCCTTTAAAATGACTCTTTAATGAAGAGGTGACACTGAAAAATATTATGTTGTCGATACAGCACATAATGAACCTCCTGTATCACATAAAAATGAAATAATGTTTTTCTATTTCTATTGTTTAAGTGATCCAATTTATCTATTTTTATTCTTCTGGCCTCCCATCTTCTTCTTATCACTCTGGTCTACTAAAGCCTACAACTTATGGTATCCTATTGGCAAGCAACTACAACCTGCGTATTGTATAGTGACTTTAAGCTTGAAATTTTGTATCCATCCACATCAGAGGCCAGTGCAACATATTGCTGAGGAAACTGAGGTATGGGAAAAGAACAGACTTGCCAGATTCGCTGAGAAGACTCAGGACTGACTCCATGTCATCCACAACAAAATTTGGTGTCTTTCTTGGTTTTAACTTTTTTTTTTCCTTGAGGTTCTGCTTTTTCTAAAGCTGAGTCATTATTTGGGTTTGAAATTGTCCTAAAATTATAAAAATCTGGTGGAAAAGTGCTTCTGAAGGAGGTAGCATCTCAGCTCCTCTAGAAATCCCTTTTGACTAGAAATATTTTCAGCAGATTTTGAATGTGCAAGCCCTCTGAACAACAAGGCCTATGAATCACTCTACTGTTTCTCCACGACCATGAATCTCACCATATTTCAAGAAAGATGGGAATTTCCAGGTGTATGGGAACTGCTGAATCACGGCCTGAACCTTTGATTGACCACCTGAGGCAAGCAATGAGTCAGCCACGGGAGCACAGTTGAAGGTAATTCACCTGTGCTACCGGAAGGGGATGGAGCCTTGCTTCACCTCTCCTAGATCTCATTTAAATGCTGACTGCCACTGAGGAAGGATCTCTTCCTGGAGATCACTCCTTGTGGAGGATATTGTAAGCCTACAACATCAGTAAGCATTTTCCATTTATTATCTTTCTGTCGCAATAATCTTATTTGGCGTAACTTTCCTGTATATTTCTTAATTATAATATCTGTATATTCGTTGATTATATACCAGGTTAAACAACTGTTCCCTAAACCTTGCCTTGTTTGTCCGTTGTAGCAGACAAAAGTCATGAAAAAAGAAGGTTACTCAGTGGTTGATCTTAAAGCTTCTGGGTCTGAGCTAAGCATTGAAGAAGCCTTTTTCTTCAGAGCCTCCAGAAGAGTGAATGGTATTTTCTAACAAAACACTTACGATTGGATCTGACTAGACCTCAGTGGGCAGATTCATTTGTAGGCCAAGTGCATCTTTCATTGAAGGCGGTGGAAACATTTTCTTTGGCTTCAATAAGTTTTGATTCAAGTCTGTATCTGGTAAGCTATATTAAAGTCTTGTGGAATTGTAGAAAGGGCAATTATGGAGTTATTTGTAATGGTTTGAACCTCTTTTAGGGATCACAAAAATGGGCTGACTTTTTTTTTTTTCAAACCTGCAGTTTTATAGCCTGTTAGCCAATAACATAAACTAAAACTTTTCATACTGTCAAAAAAAACCAAAACAACAACAATGAAAAAAAAAAACCAACAAAATACCCCAAACCTGGAGCTGTTTAAAAATAGCTCCTGCAAAAGGAGTCCCACCTACCATTTCCACTGTTGTTTTTCACTTGCACAAAGCGTTACTATACTGCTATAGTGATGGCTATTTTTACTCTTTGTTTACAAATCCTGCATTTTAAGGTGCGATAATCCCCTAAACTCAGTACAAATCTCAGAGGGCTGTTGGCTGGCATGGGAGTTGCCAATTCAGGCATGGTGCTCTCCGCAGAGCGCTACAGAAGTTATGGCTGAGTTATAGAGTGGCAGAAGCACACACGTTGCTTGGCCAACTTGCAGCTAAAAATGGCTTAATATCAAAACACGGCATTTTACAAGCGAGCAGTTAATCCTTCATAGGGGCCAGGTGCCCATTCTGAACAAGGAGTGACAAATCTGATGGAGGAGACATATATTTTCCCACCCATTTCTTCTACAAAATAAATAAAGAAAAAAAAAGGTATGTTCCTTGTTTCCTCTTAGCACTTCTTAAATCTCTACATTGCTAGTCTTCCTATTTTGCTTGCCAGTCCATTTCTTTCATAATGTCTCCTCTTGTTGATGGCATTTCCACCTATGTGGTTGCTTCAAGCTTAACCTTACCAGGAGTCAGCAACTGATGTTTGTGTAATGCTGCTCATTACAGAAGTTCCTTATATGCTGTAGTCCCACTTTTGGAAACCTGTAGCCTTGATTTTATTTTTTGGCTGTTTTTCCTTAGTAAAAAAAAAAAACTGTATAAATTCATTCAAACTGAAAATACTATTGCTATTTGTGCATATTATGAAATTCTATATGATTGCCAGGAAAGTGAACATCAAAAAGAGCAAGAATATTTAAGGAAAAATACTGAAAACTGTCTTGTTGTCTTTTGGGTTTCTGTGATGCATAGTCTCTGCTATGCTGTTCTGTGTAGATGAAGTTTTGTGTTACAGAATTTTATTCTGTTACCAAGAGAGAAACTTAGGCAGCTTCACAACTAACAAACAACTCCTCCCTAGACCACCTCCAAAACAAAAATCCGATCAAACAAAAGAAGCTCAATACTGTTTTTCTAAAGGATGTCTGGATGCTTTAGATTATCGTTGTAGTTTGTGTATCTGCAGGTTTTAAGTTCATGTAAATAAGCAGTCAATCTAGACACGTGTGTAGTGAATTAAGAACTTCTTCACAAGCACTTCTTCAGAGATCAGTTCCTAGCCTTGGAAAACGGTTGTTTTTTTTGTTGTGCTTTTTTTTTCTTCACCCTTGTTTTCCCATCCAGCATATGAAATAAGGCCAAACACTTGGAAGGAAAACTAGAAGAAAGTATTCAATTGAAGGCTTTAGGTTGCAAGTACCCTGGAAAAATATTATCTGAATATTTGTCTCACCTGGAACTATTTAAGGCTTTTCAGAAAATTGTTTTGGTTTTGAGTATGACAATGACGTTAGGGAATCTAATATGGTTTGAATGGGAAAGTGCTCTTAAACTGGAAGCATCTTGGTGTAGAGACCAATCCTAGGATGTAAGGAAGACAATCATGGGCAGAATTAGAGTGTGCATCTAACAGAACTCTAATAGAAGAGATTTGTATTACCCTCCTGATGGGAAGCCTTTACCAGGATCTCTCAGTACTTTTGTCTGTGGTGGAAAGAAATCTTGTTTTGATTTTCTAAAAAAAAAAAATAGTAACTTCTACCTTTTCTCTTAGTGAGGTACAATATTAAGTGGGTCGTTGTCTCTGCATGCCTTTTCCTAGATGAGGGCTTGTTCATAGCCAAAGATCTAGTTAGTTGCAGCGTTGGGATTAGAATTTGGTTCTCCTCTCATACAGGGACTTATATCAATACCGAAGAGAGGGAATTTGGATTAGATGTAAGCAAACATAGGCAAAGGCTATATCATATAGTACTGCAAAATCACACATACTCCTTTGGAGCTTACTTATTTGAAACCTGACTAACTTTTGCTTCTATAGTAAGAATGAACACTGTTCAATTTTATCTCATGGGAGAAAATTAGTTGCTGGCAATCCTTAGAGGATTTTAAACAGCAGTTTCATTACAGTGCATTTACTGGGCATTATTTTTACTATGAAAAGTCCTTTAAAATTAATAGGAATTTATTTCAGTGGCCTTTGACATATTACTGAAAATAATACTGCAAAATACAACCATGTCCCTCTTACTGCTACGCAAAGGCTTTAACTGGGAAAGCAGTTTACAATGGTGCCCCCATGTAAGGCTTTATTCAAAAGATTTTACGCTTGATAACATCTGAGCCATAGGAGCTGTATGTGGGGTTTAGCATCTTAGCAGCTGCAATTCTTAATCCTGATTCCGTTGCCTCCATATTAAAAGCTCCATGGTCACAGGACACCAGCTTTGGCCGTACTACATTGTCATTCATTCCTCCCTGCCACACGCGTGCCTGACCATATAGGAAAATGAGTTTACAACCGACTACGCCTATGGGACTCCCGGAGGGATACAATGTGAGAGCCTTTACTAGTGGTGGATGGTCCTCAAAAGGTTTGAAAGTTTGGTAAGTACGTCCTTAACCAAACTCTTTTGACCTTTATTCAGATTTGTTTTTGGAGAAGGGCAAAGGGTTGGGCCAATTCTTGTTTCACCCAACTGGCTTGTCCATCTGTAGGCTGTAATTAATCACTAAATCTCTGCCATACTTTGCTTTGGAGAGTAGGTCCCAGTACAGCAGGGCACTAAACTTTAAGCACATGAGTAATTCTTTAAAGTCAAAGGGATTACTCATGTGCTTAAAGTTAGCTGCATATTTAATTGCTTTGCTAGATCAGGCCGTGAGGAGTTAGGGAGCATGTGTTCTTGTAGTACAGCAGCGCCAAGTTGCTCACTCTGCCTTTGCATCCCTTTCCTTGTTGCCTGGGAATTTTCTATACAACAGTGGTGCAAAGACAGACAGCAGGGTACCGTCTGGAGCAGGACTTCATCCGGTCCCAGACTGGGGACAGAGAGCTCAGTTTTTGGTTTTGTGGACTTTAACAAAAAGCAGTAGGCTCAGAATCTGACCACTGTCAAAATTAGAGAAGGGGAAAGAAAGTTTCCTGTTTAAATTACTTCAGTTTTATCTGAACTCAGAGTGTGAGCATGTTTTCAGTCATTCATTTATGCCTTAATGTGAAGCTGCTTTGTCGTATCTGAACAAATAAGCACATACAATAATCAGCATCTGAGAGATTCAACACACATCCATGCTTTTGGACCTTTTGCAGGAATTGATCATGTTTCTTCAAGCCTAATTCTTAGCTTGCTCAAATAGCAGTTTTACACTGCTTGAAGATTTGTCTCCTTAGAAACAAACAGGCCTTGCAAACATGCTTTTTGTGTTGTGAAATGCAGAGAGCAGCCAACCGAACCACATCCCACAGGCTGAAGCCTCACCAGCACATTTGTAGTAATAATAAAAAAGAACTTCCTTTTTTTTTTTTTATGAAACTAACCTTGCTGAGTGTACATCAAGGGTTTTATTACTGGTTCTACATAATAAAGTAATTGTGTAATTAGTAATACATTTGTCACTCCTTTACTGAGGAAAAAGTAAAACATGTACTGCTTTTGTGTAAATCCTGACAGTGGTGATTTTTTTTTTTTTTTCCCCGAGAATTATACCATTATATCATAAAAGTGTCAAGGCGTGAGTTTACTGTTCTTACTAATATTCTAAAATATTCTCTTAGGCTGACATCTCTGTCAATTAAAATTAAACAAAATTGCATTCTGCCATATACACTTCAAATAGGAAGCTTTCAAGTTTATGGCTGTTCCTTGAATTGATTTTTAAGATGGCATCTGTAAAACTTGGCTAGTACAAGATGAGGTAGGATGTAGTTAAGGTTCAGTCAATTTTAAAAATGTTTTAAAGATCGTAAATTGACAACTGAAATAGACCGATCATCGTAGGGATTTTGGCTGTCAGATACAAATCCTTTTTTCTTAAAAAACAACAACTCTCAGCTCTTGCGAAGCGAAAATTTTATGAAAACATGTTCTTCTCTTCCTTTGATATTTCTGCAATAAGTTACACAAACAAGAGGGCTTCTGGTGTTGTTTCCAGTTGCTTGGTCTCGCGGGATTTGGAATTCTTCTTCTCCTGGTGTTTCCCACAGAAATAGAGTGAGAACGTGCTTTCTCACGGGACTGTATTTCTCATGGAAAATAATAGGGTTGCCGGCAGCAAACGTTTTCTGCAGTGATACCCTGCCAATAAAGTCTTCAGGGAAATTATTGCCCTCAATAAGATGAAGACTAGTAAATTGGAACCCCCATCCTTACTCCGCAAAGATATGTCTTTAGGAAGCTTTCTCCTTCTATTATTCCCTGGAAACCCTGACCCCAAGAAAATGCTGTAGACAGTTATGCTTGGTTTACACTTATTTTTTTTCCTGCAGAATAAAGATGTCAGTTATGTGTGTGAAAAACAAACCAAAAAGAGCAATCCCCCCACCGTATACCTTGACGTATGTATTTAAAGCCCTCGTGTAGAGAAGTTATTTTACAGTATAGCTCTATTTTGTTCAGGGAACCAGTTCAAACTGTAATAGACAAAGCTCCTTTTTGCTGTTAAAAACGGCATCCTTGGAGAAGGAGGTTTGTGACACAGCAAACCCTTGTAGGTGTAAACTGGTCAAAGATGCATTGAATGCATTCTAATATGTGGAAGCCAAGAGAAATTTGCCACACTGGCTTTTGTTGTTATTCTAATAGGCAGAAAAACCTGGGTTTGCCATGTCTCCAATTCCATCCCAACACGTAGCACTGAGCATTAAAAATGGACTTTGTTCATTGAAAGCACACATTTTTGGAAGGTGATCTCCTGGCTAAAGCGAATTCAAAGTCAAGCAGTGTGCTTTCTGCTGTTGGAAATGCAACAAGTCTCTGTGTTTGGAGCAGCTAGGAAAATCTGGTCGTTCTTAGAGAAATATTTACTAGGGAAGGGAAAGATGAAAAAGAAAAAAGAAAAACTTCCCCCATGGAAATGTGCACTGAAAGAAATGCAGGTGTTAGTCACACAGGAGTTTGTGTCAAGAGAAATATTTCCCCAGGGTCCCATGAGAGGAAAGGGGAAAGGGGGAACTCTGGGGTGCCTGACCCAGGGAGTAGGGAAAAAAAAAAAGCAGAGTCTGGTGGCAGAAAGACCTTAATTCATGCACCATGCCTTTGAGTGATGTGTTTACTTTCAACCTTCAAGTCAAATTAAAGCAGCAGCCAAAAACCACAGATCAACACATTTTTAGTACAAAGTGAAATTAGGGTCATTGGCACCCTCGGTGCTGCACCAATTTCTGAAACAACATTAAATCCATATTAATACTTGCTTTTAGTTAGCCATGTCAAAGGAGATGGTAATTGTGGGTAAGTAGGAAGGTTGGGATGAAACCAAGTAATTGCTGCTGGAGGAGGTAACGTAAGCACAATTAGTTGAAAGGGTTATTTTTAGTTTTGAAGGAGAATTTAAAGCCAGTCCTGTTCTGGTTTAAGTCACTTACTAGCTTGGAACATGACAGAAAAACAAGAGTCTGAAAAATTAGAATCCAGCTAAATCCATCTTCGTGCTAATAAATAGATTTTTTTTTTTTTTTCAAGCTACAATTGTTGTAATTATACCTTCTGGCAGTGTTTCAGGTGTTGTAAAGCAATCTGCATCCCTTGAACTTGCATGGATCTTCACTGGCTTATCCTGGCTGAGCAAGAGGCAGAAAAGACCAACAGTGCAAAAGACCATAGTGGTAAAATAAAGGAAATGTTTCTGGTCCAAAAGGAGCAATGGCAGCGATGCTAAATGGGATCTCATCCCCTAATGGGGACCAAACTACAGACTGCTCCCAGAGCCTCGGGGCAGGAAGGGGCTCTCAAGTGAGACCTTCTCCATGGATTGGAGAAGGCACTAAGCCTGGGCAGGCAGAATGTAACACCTTCCTTAAGCAGACAGCATTAGCTGCAGAGGAGTGTAGCTGTGCTCTTAGCTCATTCTGGGGGCAGACTGGCATTTTATACAGTCAATAACCACATAAAATTATAGGGTTATTTTTATGCCATGTCCTGATTGTTGACACCAGCCACTGCAAGTTCTGCTTTCAGCTTTTCAAATTAATAAAATCTAAAATACTTCTTTTTTTAGTAGTGATCTGGCAAATAAATGCATTTTCTCAGTAACACGAGTTTAGCCAAAATGGACTAATGCTTAAAGAAAATAACTATGCAAAGGTGTTTTCTCTCTTTCTTTCTCTTTCTTTCTTTTTTTTTTTTTTTTTGTCTCACCTTTTCACATTTGTGTGAAGGTCTTAGTTTTAGTATTATTTCTGTTGGCTCAGCCATCTGTGCGTTTTATTGCCTGTTCTAAGGAACTTTGCAATGTTTTTGTGAAGAGCAGTAGGAAAGCACTAAGGAAAAAATGAGCAGATATAAAGCCTTAGAGAAGAGAAGTGACACAACAAGCAATTTCTCCATTTGCTCCTCCAGATATTGAGCTGAGCTGGGGAAATTACTTTAAGTACATAAGGTGACACAATTACTACAGTTGGGTCTTTGTTTAATTTTCGGATAGACAGTCCGGATCGCTGAATTCAGAGGTGATTGGTTATGGACTCCCCAGCCATTTACCTCTAGGTAATCAGGTTCAATACTATCCCAAGCTGGAGCTTTGTACTCTATCTACTGTGAACAATTTATCTCAGAAGTGTAGTGTATATCTTGTTTTATTTTATTTTTTACTTACTAACAAATTTGATTTTTACAACTGTGATCACCATGCAAAATTATCCGCAGTGTGGTTGATGGGGTCTGTCTTTAGCTTGTGGACTAATCACAGGCTATTCACCATGACTGTTGCTTTGAGTATTTCTATTCACGATGCCTGATTAAGATGCATAGTTACGTTGCTCTGTCTTCATTGGATGACGTGTGTATTGCAGAGAGCTTTCAACTGACCTTCCAACCTTTTTAGTGAAAATATACGTGCGTGAGCTTCCAGAAGACTTTCCTACACTTTTTTTTTTTGTGTGTGTGTGGTCAGTTTCATGCAGACAAGTGTTAGTGAAAAGTGCCTCGTAAAGAACAGAGATAGTACCAAAAGAGATGTATAACTTTATTCATGCTGATATTCTAAGATTCTATTTTTGATCTGTTTTCCTGCTTATTGAAGTGAGCTAAACTCAGTGTGTGAAAACTTCCCACGTGCAATAAATGTGTAGTTTCACTTCAGTTCTTAGTGAACATAGGAAACACAGTCATGGTATCCACAAGGAACTGAATAAGTTTGAAGCAGTTTCCACAGCAAACAGGACACATAGAGGTGCACTGGCCATATTGCTCCTGGGTGTAGTACAGCCATCAGTATCTGATAATATATTAAGGCTCCTACACTGTCATTTCAGGTGGAGTACTGTTAGTAACGACGTCAATCTCTACATCTATTAACCTTTAACCAATTAATTTCACTTTAATTATTTTTTTTAATTAGGAAAAAAAAAGAGAGAGAGACAAACCCCAAATCAGTTCCATCCAGAGATAAGAAGTGGCCAGGTATCATCTTGTATTTCTGCTGCCAAAGAGAGAACAGGGATGCAGTCCAGAGCCAAATTTTGCCTCATTTAATTACACCTGCACAGTATTTCAATAGCATGGCTTGGTGAGAGCTGCTTTTAAGAGTAAAGTGCTTTGAAATAAAGCTATTAAATGCATACAGAGACATTGATCAATACACTCAAGATATAGTCGGGGGGAGAGGGGGAAAGGGACGAAAAAGCAAAGGACTTTTTTCTTCTCTATTAGAGTGGATTTGGAATCTTCAAGGGCATAGGGATGGTAAACGATTGCTAAAAGTCCAAATTAAGAGGTATTAGTCCATTGTGCAGCAGTCAGTCACATCATATTCGCATTGCTGTTTTCTTGTCGGAGGTTTTGCCTTGATCTATCCCGGACCGCATTGACAAGTCACAATTGAAGCATTCTAAATAATCCACAGTGAAATAAGGCATAGGGTGTCACTCTCTAGGCTACAGAAAGCCTGAGCGCAGTGAAGTTAGAAAGGGTAGCAAAGCCCTTTTCAGTCTTGTTTCTCAGCCGATTAAACTCATTCAGGGCCAGGCTGCTGGAACGAAAACAGAAAGATCACCTCCTGTTCGCCAGTGTTTTGTTGGCAACAGCAGACAGATGTAGAAAAGTAGAAACATTTTTACTATAGCAACAAAGGGGAAGGGGGTTGGAGGCAAATAAAAAAAAAAAAAAAGAAAAAAGGTTGGAATTTGTAGGCTTGTTAATGTCTCAGGTACTTCAGGGCAGTATTCTAAGTTAAGAGAGGTTGTCAGTGCAGATTGTAATTCAAAAGGTTCATACGAAATGAGAGTTCAGAGCAAATCTGTTACTTTTTTTTTTTTTTTTTTTCCCCAAACTCCTTGACTGGTACAGTAATTAACTATAAGAACAGAGGGACGCATGGTGATCCAGTTCATTAACATTTTTTTGTTGTTGTTTGTTTGGCTTTTCAGCAAATCCCATTTAAGAGCGATGCCTTCTTTAAGAGTATCCCATCCACCCATGCAGGCACACTGATGTGACATATTGTGACACAGGATGCCACAGAAAATTAAGCTGAGCCCACCAACTGAAGACTTGATTTAGCCATACATTCTCCACAAGACACCATTTAAATTAACTGTTGTAGATTCAAGCAAAGAAAATGATAATTCATCTGGTGTAAAAGGTGTGTAGAAACAGTGTGCTGCTATTGGAAAAAAATCTGCACAGTATATTCTTAAAATATATCTCCCTTTCTTTATGCAAAGATAAATAAATACAGCTGCAAGAAATGCGGTGCATTTTAGAGGACATTACAATGATTTTTCCTTGCTGCATATTATGCATTTATGCGTGCACAGCATACAGTCTTAGCAAATGCATCTATGCATGTGTAGGTGTGCATGCATATGTATTTTCAAATATACACAAGTTTTCTTCTTCTAACTTTCAGCAGGGAAATACCCATACACAAATAGCTTGGGTATAAATTACAACAATTTTCCTTTTGTGCAATGAAAAAAATATAAAAGGAAGTATGAGAATGGTTCTGTTACTGGATAGTAAAATGGGGAGCCATGTTCCAGCCTACATCTGAAGCATTAGGGTGTTTAAGAGCAATGACTGGTCTAGAGATTATTGCAAGCTCCTGTCTTTCTGGGCTTAGATCCTAACGTTGATCTGATGGCTAACAGCCCCTAACATTATGTACCTCCTTTTCCAGTCCTTGTTTCCCAAAACCTCAGAGACTTGCAGAAGTTCCTGTGCTGAACTGATCTAAAATACTGCGATCATTTATCACTGGGTTGTGCTTTTTGCCATGCTTAAAAATTTGTGCAATATATATCAGGTGTCTATGGGTTTTGGCATGGTGTTGGGTCATCTAAGCGATTTGGCATTGTTTAGACTGCAAAATAACACACAGGGTCAAGAGCAGTCAATACTAGTCCTATAAATTATTGTCCAGACTCTCATAAATTGTCCTCTAATTTGTGGCTTGAAATAGAAAAAAAAAAGAGAAGAGAAAAGATATCAGAAGCCAAATCACTTTTCTTCTGCAACTGCACCTGTATTTTTAGCATGAAGGGCAGTCCTTCCCAGCTGAAGTATTTGCTTCTAATGTTCACATCAGGTCTAAGTGCTAGGGTTCAGGGTGACCTCTGATGTTCTCTGACAAGGAAATGCAAAACCAAATCCCCAGGCAGAATTTTAGAAAAACACTCATTTTATTTACTCATATTCATCTCTTCTTGAAAAAAAAGGGAAAAAAGGAGAAAATAGCTTTCTTAATCCCAGTACTAACACAATATTGATTCACATTCATGTTCAGTATTTATTGACGTGCATTGCATACAATGGAGGCTATCAATTAGGCTACTCTGTATGAGGGAAGGGGCAATTATATTAGAAAACAGATGAAGCTCATAGTTTATATAGTCCTAATTTTATGTAATGTAAACCTTTCAAACCCTGGGCACATGACAGTGAAAATGCATGTCCTTATGAAAAGAAAGCAAAAACCAAATGGATTTACTCACCAGCTAATTACTATGAGTGACTGTCTGCCCACAGAGTCATATTATTATTTCCTGAAGTTCTCTAATGAAATCAAACTTCTCCTCCTACAAAGCAAATTTTTGTGTATTTTTTTTAGCCAACATCAAATATATTTGTCTGATACCTTAGCACAGGGTTTTGTTTTGGGAGTTGGAAACATATATGAAGTGCTATGGGTGATGCATAACCTTGCCATGTTCCTTCTGTACATTTAAGCTGGGGTTCAGCATACTGCACTCTTATTAAAGATCAATGCCAAGGAGAGCATAATGGCATATGGGCAGTTTTAGGGAGACCATGTTGCTTTGTGCAGAAATCATAAAATATAAAATCTTTTTTTTTTTTTTTTTTTTTTTTTGCCCCGTGGAGGTTTTATTGCAAGGTCACAGCTGGATTTACATTGTATTTAATAAAACATTAGTAGTCACCAGGGATTTAAATATGTAACGTAATTCTTTTTCAGTAAAATAATTCCATAAATCCAAATATGAAGCTTTTTTTTTTTTTTCAATTTCTATATGCCCATAATTAAATTAAATCTTACGTATGGTTTGGGTTTTTTTTCACCATAGATTTTAATGGAAGCAAAAGCCATCTGCAAAATTGGTTTTGGATACATATTCAAATGTTTTGGAGCTGACGTAGGGCTGGTGGCTAATAAGTTTTGGGGAGTAACAGGGGTGCTGGCTCTCCATCCTGGCTGATCTACTTTTGATAAAGACTTGTGGCAAAATGGAGGTCAGTATTTACATATGCAAGTGAAGACATGCCTAATTTCCCAAAGAAAAACAGTTCAGTACTGGGGTAATTTCTTCCTAAGTCTGTGGTCCCTGATGGTATCTGGAGTGCAAAGAGAAGGAACACAATGCAGGCACACTGCCTTGGACAGGTAGATTT